ATGACTTGCCATGTCCTAGTCGCTTGTGTGCCAACTCACAAATGTTGTGGTACTACTGGTTTTGATTAGGTTCAATGTTGAACCATAACGTTTGTGGTTTGGCACACACACATATGACCAAGTTGCGAAAACAAGGTTAAACAACTTTTGATATATTTTGTTCGATTACTATTCTTATAGAAATATATTATTTAAATGAGTAAACAGATGATGAGGCATGACATGGCCTGAAATAAAAGCCCATGATATAAAAAATTTCCTTTAAAATAGATTCGTGATCCTAAAAATGTATACAAAATAAAACAACGCGAATGAATGAAATAGTACAGTCCAGCTAATCAATGAATTAGTGGATAAGATTAATTTCAAATCTAAGCTAAGTTAACTGAGTGGTACATAAATTCACCAAATATTTTTCTCTAAAGACATTTTTATGTTAAAATTCGAGCCATGATGAGTTGCTAAGACAGATAAAAAACACACAAACTCTGAAATCAATAGAATGAAATATTAAAACCGACAAATTAACAAAAACTAAGGGTACACATGAATTGGGACAAAAGAACACAACTTTTAAGTTTTAAATAAGCAAGTAGCTAGATAAAATAAATAAAAAACTAAGGTTCAATAGATGGTGGTTAATAAACCATACAGCACTACTCACTGCTATGATCGAACCAAACTGCATCACAGCCAGCTGTCCAGCTAACCTAGCGAGAAGATCGTAGCTGATAATAGTAATGGCCGTTTTAGGGCCAGATCCTGATAAATTAAACCGACTTTGACCTAAACTGCTACCAGATGGTTCATTTAGATCTCGAGCCGAACACACGACCCGGATCTCGGGTGCCAAGTTATCCGGTAGACGAAGCCAGGTGTGCTCGAGTCTATGAGTACTGCTATTATTGTCTGGGCTGCGTGTAAATCCGGTATTACTGGGGTCGTTTAAATTAGGAGTAAGCCACCGGGCGAGTTGATGAAGCCAGGTGAAGCGCACGGATGAAGGGCAAATTATTAGAAGTGGAAAATCATGAGGAAAGGCAGCTGCAATACAGATGGCTTGAATAGTTTTTCCAAGGCCCATATCGTCAGCTAACAAAATGCGACCCTGGCGAGAGATGCCAATACTAATTTTTTTTAAATAAAAATAAAGTGAGGATACAAGAGAGAGATACTCCATTTAGAGGAAAAAAATGTAGAAATTAAAACGAAAAAAAAGAATGTAAACAGCACTAAAAAATTAGATGTAATAAAATAAAATGCAGAAAAGTATTAAGTTATTAGAGATATCAGGTATGGTCAAAGCATACATATATATATATATATTAGTAAGCTTCATTTTTTCTTTAAATTTCACAGATTTGCGTCTCAGATATTCTTACCCAAAGTGGACTGCAGCTTCGACCATGCCTAGGTCAACTCTCTACGCACCCCCAGCGGGGATCGAAAGGTAGAGTGGTGTAAAAGCTTAACGTGTAGTCATTACACTACTGCTTCGCGTCCCCTTGGGTCAAAAATAAAATTTTGCTTCGTAGACAATCCCATCAAAAAAGTGTGATATGAGAAAGGGCTAGGCTTTCTTGAAATTCGCTTCTGTCCTGTGACTTAAGGGCACTTGTGACAGTTGAGTAGTTGCTAAGACGTCGAGATTAGCCGCTGCACTACCGAAAACCCGGGTTAAGTCCCGCTAGAAGCACTGGTGATACCTATGCTAGGTAGAAACCGCGGTCGTCCCTGGATGCAAATATCTTTGGGAAGCAAGGATATAGAAGCATGAGGCTTACTCATAGCATTATAAGGAAACTCAATTACCAGTCTTTTGTCATTTTAAACGAAATATGATGAATATAGCTCTTATCATAAGATTTCAAGTCACCCTAGGTCACATAAGGTAGTAAAGGGTTGATAGTTTATTTTTTCATAATGTGATCACTAGTCCTAGGTTTTCAAGCATTGATCTTTAAAAGCTATTCTCATCCAGAACGTAGTGCAGTCTCACTAGCAACTCCAGAAGAAATCAATTAAAGGTATAACACTTTATAATCTCAACATCTTACCACTACACTGCACTACCATGATTGCCCCCGGGTTACAGAGCAGACGTGAATTCCAGCGAAGACTAAGATCCTTCCAAATTTTGTGGCTCAGAGCCAAAATTCTAGGCGTGTTAGAAACTAGTCCGCCTTAGATGAAAATAATCTTTGGGAATCAAAGCTATGCAAAATTTAACGTAAGGCCCACTAATCTAATTGTTGGAAAATTCAAATATAAATCCTTCATAAGCTTTGGCGAACCAGGGTGACAGAAATTCTTTTTGTAAGGCTTACTGAGAGTCTCGAAGGCTCAATTTATCTTAAAAATAATAATGATAGGCAATGATTACGCGTTCACACAGTAAATATGTTTAACATACCAAATCGAGTAGGCAAATATTTTTAACATGCATTTTGGCATCTAAATAAATGGCCCATCCTATTAAGATGTTCCAGTTTACAAAGGTATCTAGAAGCTATTCTATTTAAAAATAAATTCGGATGATGATTTTCAAAAATAAAAGCTGTGATCGCAACAGGTCGAATAAGATGATAAAGGGCTGATAATTAAAGTTTCATACAACAACGATTTTCAAAAACAAAAGCTGTGATCGCACCATGTCGAATAAGATGATAAAGGGCTGATAAATAAAGTTTCATACAACAATATGAGTAGGACTTACGATGCCACTAAATTTCCCTTAGACTTGTCTTTAAAAAGCTATTCACATTGAGAGTGGACCCAAGTTTCGATCGCGCCTGAATCTCACAATCACCCTCAACGGGAATTAGACCCAGATCGTGCAGTGGTTCTTGACACAGAACTACATCACACATAAAAGGGTGTCACTGGATTACAGGGCAGATGTAATTGAGGCTACCAAATTGCATCTATATTAAGGCTTTAGATGAAGCATACTTGTAACTTAATAGTCTCAAAGTCCTCCTTATAGTAGACGTTTTTACTTTGTTCTAGTGTTTCACTTTAAGAGCAAACTGATAATAACAATCAGTTTAAGAAAATGATAGCTATATTTAAAAAGATACAAATTTATTTTTAAACCTACTAAAAAATGGCTCAGAAACATTATAGTAGCTTAAGATTATTAATGAATGAAATAAGGGCTAATTGTGAACAAAGGGCGATAGGGCCCATTAAACGTCGAGAAAATCATGAGCAAATGGCCCAAGGGCAGGGCATTGGCCGTCAGCTTCACACAAGTCCCATATACTGGGAGACGTACGAAACATCAATATCTAGCAATATTTGATGGGGATAGAACAATTTGTCGCCTCACCTTACGCCTTTCTGTTGGAATGTAAGTAGGTTATTTACTACTTCGGCAGGTAGGTGATCCAATAACAGCTTCATATTTGGATGCTCGGATAGCGACAACTGAACATCTTTGTCTGAAGAGCCTGTTAGCTGAGCATGAAACGTCTAAAAAACGATAGAAAGTGTTTTAAGCACCGGTAGTTGCCTGTTGTTGAGACATGTTTTAAACAATAGACTACTAAATCTTAATGCCATCATTACATTAGTCAGCACTCATAGGAGGATGATTGCACAAACTTCTTGGCAAATACCAATACTAGTGTCTGATTAAGAGACAAAATGACAAGAGCTATTGTTTTAATATATATTCCAGAATTATCTTGGGGAAATCGGGGACTTATCTCACAAAAAGGAGTTGAACGAGTATGCTTGGTCTGCTTAGAGATTCGTTGATGGTACTGTAGAGCAGAACGCGACAAAAATGGAAAAATATCCGCTATAACTATCATTAAGCAATGTATCTTAAGTAGCGGAGTAAAGTTTCCCAATCACAACAAAGTATAAAAATATTAAATTATAATTCTACGATAAATTAAAAAAACTAATTCCTAGTAGACTCCTGAAATTCAATTTCTCTGAATAGCTTATACAGAGGAAAGAATTAAAAAAAGTAAAAACAAGTGAATCAAAAGATGCGATTGGCTGAAGCATGAGCGACTAAGCAATTGAGTTTATTGTATGCCCCAACTGTAACCTATACAAAATCATATCAAAATTAGGCTAGGTTTCGCTGCAAAGACACTTATTGCTTTACTAAGTTATTCTAAAATATCTAATGTGACAGCTATTCATTTCTAATGAAAATTTGGCTGAAAGGGATATGGGAATTAAGATCATCTGGAACCGGAAGAGGATTATAGAACAGTAGATTGTGTGAAGAAGTCCTCGGGTCAACGTTTTGCGGCCGCTGCATGAAGACATCGCCTGAGGAAGAAACACTCATTTTCAAAAATATGCACTAAACACATTAATAATTATAAAAAAATAAAAAGCATTTGCATTTAATTATTAAAGGATTCTTCAAAAGCCAGTTTTTCTACACATATTCTAAAAAATCGGTTAAGAAATGATTATTTTATAAGGATAATGAAAATCTATAATGGGTTAATAGCTTACTGAAACTATTGCACTGGCGAGCCCCTCCAGATGAACGTCTTCAAAAGCAGATGCCATTTTAACTGAAAAAGGTAAGTTGACATATCATGTGTATCAGTGGACAATAATAAGGAGGAAGAAAATGTAAATTAAAATTACAATAGAACTTACTAAAATGCATATAATCCTTTAACGCGAACGACCATCTGTGAGAAACAGGATCTAAAGCAAAAATAGTTGAGGTGCCAAAAGTTATCACTGAGTAAAACATTATGGGCTGAGAGATTTTCATCTAAAGACAACTTTAATATAACATTTATATAAAGCTTAGTACCTACTAGAATGCTAGCTATATATATATAAATATGTGTGCGTACAAAGATTAATCGGTGAAACAGGCGGAAACTATCTTAATTTCAGCAAAAGATGCCGATATAGAAAATAGATGAATCCTGGCCAGAAAGAGACCTATGAAAATTATTAGCTAATTATTTTAAATATTTTATCAGTAAAGCATATCTAGGCATAAGGTCAATAGTGCCTGTACTGCAATGGTACAAAAACACGTAAATATAAGATAAAAAAGTGAAATTATTTAAGTCATCTTGATGGCTCTGTATATGAAGATCAACACCATCTAACTAAAAGGGTAACATAAAATTGAAAAATTATGATTGAATTATTTCTAATATGAAAATATAAATTATGTATACATATCCTGATAAAATGGCGATTAAAAAGAAATGAGAATAGCTTAGT